TTTCCAATGTTGATCTTGCTCCATCTTCCTTCAATTTTCGAGGATATTCTTTGTCTAGATCTCATTCCATATTAGGTTTATTAATTGGTGAAAGGAATACAGATTTCCTTTGCTGATATCTCGTGAAAAGGAATTTTTCTTAACAAGTCATTCCATAAGGTGTCCTTCCTCTCTTCATCTGATATGTCGGCATCGACAATTAGTTTAGCTCTCATTCCTCTTACTCACACCATTCAATCTCAAGACTGGTACTTGTCCGATGCTTCTTTTAACAAACGTCCCTAGGACTACTTGTTTCTTTGTTTTAGGTAGGTCTTCATATTTCCCATATAGATGAACGCTATGTAGATTGATAAGGCTTTCTGCACTTCCAACTTCACAATGATTGTGCAGGTTATACTTCCTAACATGACAGTTCACCTCATCTGCAAGTATCTCTAGTACGGGTTTATTCATTCGTCGTTCCTCCCTCTTCCTCATCTGACATACTATTGCAAGTTTTTAATACATGTAAGTTGCTTCCATTCTCAAGAAAGAAGATAGTCAAAGGCTCCATTTCATTCTCGTCGAATTCACCTTGTAAAATCATCCTCGAATTTCCAATCTTTGCACGCAGAGATGAATTCTCAACTATTAGTGCCTTAAGGTTTTTCGTCATTTCCTGCATAGTCATTGCTATGTACATCTTCTATAAATGATGACGTTGAGTGGGAGAAATGTCGATATGTGACTTGCATTAGCATATAGTCCTTGCATTCACATTACTGTTCATCGAATCATCACTTTGCTCTTCTACTCCAACTTTCAGCATTTTAACATCCTTCGAATTTCCTCTGTTTGGCTATTTTTCTACAAATTTCAAGGATTTTTCAAGTTTGATAGATACATTCGTGGTTTTCTTTACTCAAGGTTCCCACGGACAACGCCACCATAAAATTACAACCAACAAACTCCTCTCACATAGCCAGAGTATTCACCTCCTAAACTCTCTGAATTTGATGTTCAAACAGAAGCAAGAAGGAAAATAGTTATTAGGGGGAGAGATATTTGACTTTTCATGTCTTCATTTTCTTAGGTGTGAGTATTTATAGATTTCCTTGTAGGCTTAGATCATTCTAGAACACAATAAGTGGTGGTTGTTTATTTATGGATTTGTTACGAATTTTGTTATGTATTCACATATTATTCATTGGTTTAGATGTCATGATTTTCAAACTCATCATATGTGTTTAAATAACGACTTTTCCGCCAAAATGGGGGTATGGTTCGCCCCTTTCTTCTGCTAGCCTTAAATGTTATAACTACACTTACATTCTTTTAAATTTCGCCTAAAGGGCACGAGCATCTGAGGGGGATTGATTGGCTCAACAATGTCCAGTAGCATATGCCGTTGAAAAGGGTAATTGAAGGTGGCTTATTCCCAAGTATCCACTGAAAACAATCGAGATCCACCAATCAAAGTGTTTGTTTGTAAAATGGATTTGAATGATTTCTTTAACAAATTGAACTTATCAACCTTACGAAAATTTGGACATAGTAACAGCGAGAAATTGAGAAGTAAACAACAAAGAAATGGAAGTTGAAACGCCAATGAAAATGGACAAAGTAACAACAACAAAATGGATGCAAAGTCGAGGCAAGAGTTGAATTCTTTGTCCTTAATTCAATGTTGCCCCACTACGGTGCCTACGAATGATGGCAATAAACTCTCAAGGTACAATGACTTCCTTCTTGTGTTTGTAGCACTCCAAAACACAAGAAAAAGAACCAAAAAGAAGGCTTTTGTACTCCTTTCGAATGAAATGAAAAAAAAAACAATTTTTTAAGTAAAATTTCGGTTAAGGAAATATGATTTTATGTTAGGCTATGATTGCATATAATTGGGATGGGTTAAAAGACGTCAAAATGTGTCTTATTTATAGAACATAAGAGGTTATGAGCGAAGTAACACAGCTCAAAACTCACCAACATTTGCCAAGGGTCACAGCCTTTACTGTTGCTCGCCTGTTGCCCGTACGTCGCTCGAACGCCAAAGCAGAGAGTCTATCACTTGCCTGGGGTTGGGCTATCGCTCGAGCAACAGATGTAAGTGTAGAATTCGATTTTTCCTTCAACTTTGGACCACAATTTCTCATTCATCCGAAATTGATTTTGAGATTTTAAATATACCACGACGATCTACTTGACAAGTAGAACAAGTTATCTATTTATTTCCATAATTTTGAGTGAGGTAGTCTCAACTGAGCTGGCAGCAGCAGTGTGAGGATTCAATTCCTACCTCTTACAAGGTATGAAATCAGTCTCTTTGTGGGCAACAGTATGCCAGCTCTTGTACCCTGACCTGCTGAGGCACATCTCACGATTTACCTCATCCACAAT